TGAAAAGCGGAAAAGTACCGTTCAAGATCGCGGTCCTCGATCCCTATTTACCTCCCCATATTCTCCCCCCTCCCCCTCCTCTATTAGCCGATCGAAATAATACATGCATGTTTTTTTACATTACACACACATACCATCATATATAATCGACTTTAGAGGAAAATAATCTAATCGACTTTGGTGACAATCCAAAGTCTTCTATTCTCTCTTCAATTTCTTGGTTTTTTTTTTTATTCTTTCTTTCTTTCTTTTCTCTCTTCATTTTCCTCGTTTACTCGAGGTCTAGCAAAAAAAAAGAAAATTAAAATAAATATAAAAGAAAAGATAAAAAGAAAGAAAGAAAATGAGGTTAGAAAACTCTCCTCTACGATGATAAATAATATTTTAAACGACGAATGTACAATTTTAAATTAAAAAAAAAAAAAGAAAAAAAAAGAAAAAAAAACATACACAAAAGAGTCATACGAATTAACACGAAAAGTAAAATAATAATTAAAAATTAAACATATATATATATATAAAATTCTAATCACAAAGAAGCATTAACAAAAAATTAAAAAATCTCGCCAGTTTGACCAAAAAAAAAAGAAAAAAAACAAACAAAGAGAGAGAAAAATGGATTCCCAATATGTCGGCTACTCGATCGATTCAATTATGAAGAAAATCAGAGTACAATTTGTTTTTTCATCGCTTTTTCTTTTTCTTCAATTTAACATTTTTTCCAACTATAATTTTTTATCCACAATTATGAGATGACGATGATAATCGTAATATAATTAATGATTATTAATAATAATAATAATAATAATAATATAATAGATAATAGATATTAATAATTATAATAATAATAATAATAATAATAATAATAATAATTTCAACCTCTCGTAGAAATTGCACATAGATCGAGGCGAACATATACGCGCGTTTTACGACGACGAACATATGCGCGTTTACGATGTTTAAAATGTTCGACGATTTTTCTTTGTTTTCTTTGTTATATATTGTTTCTCTTAAATCTGGCAGTATAATAATTGGTGTATATGTATAAATTTTGTTTTCTTTCTTCTATTTCTTTTCCTCTCTCTCTCTCTCTCTTTCTCACTCTCACTCTTTCTCACTCTCATCACATTCTATCCACTCTTTCTTACAATAAATTCCCTCCTTTTTCCGCCATATTGTTTTTTTCATGAGAAAGTTCCGTAATTAATTTTTACTTTTCTTCTCTTTTTTTTTCATATATATATATATATATATTTTTTTTTTTTTCGTTTAC